ACCGCGACTATATCCCTTACGTTTTCCGTTGAACGGGTCACGTTGACCCTGAGACTGCCATGCCCGGAGGCCGTCCCACCCCGCACTATAAGAATGATCGGACTGAGGACGTACCTCAATCGCTTGGAACTAGAGGGTCGGAGGACGCGAGTGGGCTCATACCACGCTACGGGTGGAGATGGAGAGTGTCGAGTCGCCCCGAGGGAGACGAGAGACGAGACCGCATAGCGCGCACGTTCCTCCGTCAACGCGTACACGAGAAGCGCGTTCCTCGAAAAATGGGGGAGGCGACTAGCAAAAAGGAGCTCGCTCCACATACCCTCAAGCCAGAAAAAGGGACTTGGAGGCAGCTCAGCCAATGAGAGCTCGTCAAGCTCGGTCGGAGCGTGACCACGATCCCAGCCGGGGCAATCCCTTTGAAGGGACGAAGGGAGACGCATTCAACAATGCCGTGCCCCATGGACCTCTCAGGCTGTAGGGGCGCCAACGCCCATTCCCGGCTCGTGGCCTCGCCGAGAAGGTTGCACGAGCCGGTCGGCGACCCGGAGCGCGAGCGTTCCCGGAGACACAGTACCGTAAGATAAATGCCTCACGGCCGCGGGATAGGAGAATGAGAACAATTCAGGCAAGGAGGTCAACGAGAGACCGATGGCACCCAACGAAACCACGGCAAACTTCACCACCGTAAACGACGTCTGGATACCGGACGGGCACGCCGTGCTTTCGTCACTCCCGAAGCGGCACAAGGGCTGTTTGACGAAGAGGAGGTTACGTTGCTGGGACGAATACAAGGAGGGAAAGAATGTTACTCGAACCGAGGCTCGAACCTCATAACGCCATCACTCACCTCCTCTTCGACGAAGCGGGAGAATAGACGGTGCTTTGAGGGCACAAGAGCAGGGGGGTTGAGGAAGGATTCGGATTTCTTTACGGTGACTACTGTCGCGAAAGCTAGCGACTCAGGTGGCGGAAGCAAACGGACGCTTAAGGGGCCTTACGGAGAAAGAGGGGCTAACAAAGGACGCGCAGGGAGCGCCGATAGACTCGACCGGTCAGTGCTCCGTCCCGTCGGGGAACGCCGGCGGCCCGGAAGCCCGCCCGCTCGAGGGGCAGTAGCTAGGGTGCGACGGTACACCCGCCTCCGTCTCGTGAAGCGGTGGAAGGGCGACTACGCCATGCGTTGTCCACCCGCCAGCTGGGTTGACCGAAGTCGCGGGTTCGTCGGCCATCGAAGAGCCGAGCTCGCGACTCTGGTAAGGGTCTCGAAGACCCTGGCGTGGCACAGGGCCAGGAAAGCTCACGGCCGACGGGGCGACACGTTCGGCCCTGAGGGCGTCCCGCTCGCCGCGGTATCTATCGCGATCGGACGCCGCGCGCCGGAGACCACTCGCCTGTAGGGAGGACGACTCTCGTAGAACCTTCAGCTCATCCTGAGAGCCGCGGAGCTGCTCCGCGAGGGAGTCACGCTCTGCGGCAAACGCCTGTCGTTCCGCCCCGAGACGGCGCGCTTCGCTGCTACGTTCGACATACCAACTCGTGAGGGTACGGAGTAGTCCCTCTACAGTCCAAGCCCTATCGACCAGACTCCCCAGGGCGCGAGACAACCTGGGGATTGCAGTGAGCTCGTCGCGAGCTAGGTCAAGGGTCAACGCGGTGTTCCGTTGGGCACTGAGGCAACCGACGGAGCCAAGAGAAGGCAGAGGGGGCAACGGGGACCCCAACGCAGTATCGTGACCCGCCTTGGGAAGCACCGACGGCACGCTTACCCTGGCCAACGCGATAGCGGGAAGCTCGCCGTCCAGGTCACGATACCGCTTCCGACGCGCCTCGCGCGCCGTAGACCCGACGCCTCCCTTACCTCGGGACGGGCCCGCGGTGGGGACGCTTGGACGGGCCATGAAGGAGTCGCTCCGATGGTCATACGCGAGAAAGAGGCTCCGAGTCCCTGTCGTGTAGTCCGTCCAAGGACGACGATTACGTTCGGGCACCGCACCGGCGCAGTGCATCAGGTCTAGTACAGAGGAGTACGACCAGGCCACACACGGTGAGCCACGCTCGAGAGGATGCATGGAAACGTCCGGAAGGGATAGCGCCACTCGCCCAAGGAAGGAGAGTACCCCCACGGGCTGCACGAAAGCACGCCCGTGGAGGGAGACCTCATTCATGAAGGCGTTACCGAGACACCACGCCCATTCTTGCTCCACGTTGTACGAGAGGTAATCGAAAACCGGGTGCTTCGGGTCACCGCAGGCGAAGCCGAAGTGCTTCAAGACGTAGGGGAGTAACGGGTGAACTCCCAACGAGGGGAGCGACTCCCCTACGACCGGCGGAAGCTCAGGGAAATCGCTTCTCGACAAGCCCCGGGAGAACGAGGCGGACGGGAACATGCGCCCGTCCTCTTCCCCGCGGTGCCGGTAAGTCGCCCAATCGTTGGGCGCCAGGGCAATGTAGTGAATCCGCATGAGGGAGCATGCGGACTTCTGGAGGGCCGCTCGCGCCTTAGAGCAAGTGCGCGGACGGGGGCCGACGTAGAGCCCGGTGACCTCCGGGAGAATGAAGCGAGGGGGACCACGGGGGCCCCGGTGGAAGAGGTACGCCGACATCTGGTCGACATACTCGACCTCTTCCTCGCAAAAAGCGAAAGTCCTATCGCTAGGAATCTCGTCGGGTAGTTGGTAAGGAGCGCCACCGCCCTCGGCGAGGAGGCGACCCAGCGCCAAGGAGGCCTCTTCGGTCAGCCCTCCTTCGTATATGGACCGAATTCGTAGAAGGTCAGGACGTAGGGACTCCCTTGACAGCAGCTCGCCCACGGTGACGCTCGCCTGCGTATGGCGTCGCCACGCGTATGTCAAGCGACCGAGCGGTAGCGGGATTGACCGCTCCAAGGGCACCCCCAGCCACCTCGTGGAGGTGTTGGACGCCTCCCTCTCTCCGCCCTCGTCGAGGCGGGGGGCAGCGCGCGGCGCACCGGGATGCCGGCAGCTGCCAAAGGCCCCATGCGAGCCCTCCCTGGGGTCGTACGGGCCACCGCGGGGCCCCGTCATGAGGCCTCCACCGGATGACCCGACCGCGTCGTCAACACGCTCAGGTCGAAGCGGCACCGAGGCCCCAGTCACCGGACGAGCATCTGGCAGCGGGATGATGGAAGGCGGGGGCATAACTCGTCGGACACGGTAGAGGCGCGACCCCCCCGGGACTTCCGGAAGGGACGCGGAGGCCACCATGGCGAGGGAGCCGACGAATCGGCACCTCCCTTCTCGGCGGAGGTGGGGTCCTCAGTGGTCAAGGGGCAGACACCCGGCGTGCTCGATCCACTGCCAGGCGGGGGCAGAGGGAGCGAGGGACCGCCCCGAGAAGGGATGAGGGACGACATAGGGAGACACGGGACGGGCGAACCGAGTACGCGACCGACAGAGGTGACGAGCCCGTGAGGAAGGACGGGAGAGGGCGCCGACCGAGCTGAGGCCGGATGAACGAGGGCGGACTCCCACGACGGGGGTAGTAGGGTGATGACGAGAACCAGCCCGGAGGGCACACGCAGGATCGCGCGCCGGAAAGGGGGCGGGGGTGACGGAGTGACGACGAATTCGTCGTCCCCAGAAGGGGAGGAGGAATGACCTGCGCGCGCGTAGGGAGGTGCGAGACGGAACACGGAGGATAGCAAGCAGGGAGCAGAGTCGACAGGGAGAGCGGAATCGACCGTATAGACGGCGTGGCCGGACATGTTGTCCCCTCTCTACAAGCACCCGTGGACGCGGACGTCCCCGCTTAAGGGGGGGGGCCGTGTAGTATAACCCCCCCCCTGGGGCTTTATTTTAGATTAGATCAACTCAGAATCGGATCGGGTACTGTAGAGCTCGATGCTCTACAGTACCACCACGTGTAACCCCGAGTACAGGGGGCGCACGTGTACACGTGTACGCGCGGGACCGAAGAGCGCACACACACACGTGTACTGTCAGCCCCGATGGCTGACAGTATTACAGTGTCGACCGACCGCTACAGTACGTCGCTACAGTACATCGGTACTGTACTATTATGATAGGTTATTATGTACATTAAATATGGAGCGGACCGGCGGCGGTGGAGGAGGACAAGCACGGACTTGTCACCCACCGACCGTCAAGGTCCGACTTCCCGCTTATTCTAAGGTAGCGCTCGCTAACTACCTTAGAGCGGCACCGAGCGCGGGTTGAGGACGCGCGCGGTACGCCCACGAGTCGGCTCCGCCTCCGCCCGTCGGTACTGGATCGTTACCCAGTACCGCGCCGGGGCGTCGAGGCGTCGGACCGCTCGCGCGTACCGGCGTCCTCCCCGTTCCCGCTCTACCACGCTACCCGGGCCCGCTGCCCGGTGCCGTTAGCTGGTGTCCTGCTTCACCCCTGTCTTCCCGATCGGACGGGGTCTCGGTCGAACTGTGCATACACCCCTATCGCTGGGGGTGTTTATGCTACAAAGTGAACCCAAGGAAGATTGAAGCTGTTCAAAAATGGGAAGCTCCTCGTAATGTAAAGCAAATTCAAAGCTTTCTTGGTCTTTGTAACTACTACCGGAGATTTGTAAAGGACTTTGCGACGATAGCAACTCCTTTATCTAATCTAACAAGAAAAGGTACACCTTTTCAGTGGGGGCCATCACAAAAAGGAGCATTTGAAGAACTGAAGAGCAAACTAGCAGAGGCTCCCGTACTTCGATACGCAGATCCCAGTTTACCGTATGAAGTAACTTCTGACGCATCTCAAACAGGTGTTGGTGCTGTCTTGACGCAAACTGATGAAACCGAATGCCGCCCAGTAGCATACGCTTCACGGAAACTGAATAAAGCAGAACAAGGATACAGTACACGTGAAAGAGAACTTCTTGCTATTGTGTACTCTTTACAAACTTGGAGACCATACCTACACGGCTCAAAGTTTAAGATACTGACTGACCATCACCCATTGAAATACTTGGATTCACAACGAACCTTATCCCGAAAACAAGCCAGATGGGTTGAATTCATGCAAGAGTTCGACTACCACATTGATTACATCAAGGGAAAGCAGAATACAGTAGCTGATGCATTATCGAGACAGTACCAGGAAGTGCACCAGACATCAGCCAGTGTTGTGAAACAGTTGATGGCATTTACACTAGTAAAGGCGGATGAAAATATTCTCAAAAGCCTTGAACGAGAGTACAGAAAGGACCCCGATTTCAAGAATGCGTTTGAAACCCCAACTGCTCCGTTCAGTAAGAACAAAAACCGCCTTTACTTTGAGAATAGGCTCTGTATTCCGAAAGGAAAGATCAGAGAAATCGTGTTGCACGACAATCACAAATCTCTCTTTGGTGCACATCGAGGATTCAAAAAGACCTTACAATATGTCAGGAGACATTTTTATTGGCCTAGCATGAACAAAGAACTACACGAATACATCAAGACATTCCCAAAGTGTCAAGAAGCCAAAAGCCTAACCCAGAACAAACTGGGAAAATTCAGACCATTTCCGCCACCACTAAAGAAATGGGAACAGATATCTATGGACTTCATATTCGACCTCCCGAGGACGAATACGAACAAAACTGCTATACTTGTTGTTGTGGACAAACTCTCGAAACACATGCATTTTGTTCCAATTGAATCAAACCATACTGCCAAAGATACAGCAGAGGTGTTCTACAACGAGATATACAAACATCACGGTCTTCCAAGAAAGATAATATCAGACCGTGACACAAGATTCACAAGTACTTTATGGAAGGAAATCATGAAGCTACTACGAGTCAAGTTAAACTTATCAACCGCCTTCCATCCTCAAAGATGGACAATCAGAAAGGGCATTCAGAACATTGCAAGAAATGCTACGTTGCTTTGTTAGCTATACGCAAAGAGACTGGAGTAAACACCTACCAGGACTCGAGTTTGCGTACAACAATCACATAAGTGACACAACTAAACAAACTCCTTTTTTCCTAGAGTATGGCAAGCACCCACTCTCTGTTTCTGACGTCCTCCACTCTGATGGATCAGAAACACCTACTGTGACCACACAAAGGTTTTTGGAGAACATAAGAAGAGCTAATGAAATAGCAAAGCTGTCCATCACAGCTTCGAACGAACGAAACGCCCAACAAGTCAACAAACACAGAAGAGATCATTCATTTCACGTAGGAGACCAAGTAATGCTCTCGACGAAGAACTTACCACTCAAGACAGGAAGAAGCAAAAAGTTATCACCGAAGTACATTGGACCATTCGAAGTCATCGACATCCTGGCGTCTGGAAACGCATACAAGTTGCAACTACCAGAGAAATATCAAAACCTTCATCCTACATTCCACATATCTCTTCTCAAGCCATACTACAATGATCAACATAGAAGAACTATCGGTCGCGAGTCTGCATTTCAGACCGAAGACAAGATGCCGCCTACAATTGACATCATTTCCCACCGCAACACTCAAGACTCTATCGATTTCTTAGTATCAGAAAACTCAGGAAACATACTTCAAGACAAATGGATTGACGAACAAGACCTTCCAAGCCACAAGCCTTCTATTCAACGTTACTTCGACTCCATCACCTACTACCCACCTCCAAGCTTATTCGAGGACGAATAACCATCTTAAAGGGGGAGGAGTTGTAACGGTTGAAGGACAAGCACAGTATGTATGTCTTTGTAGTTTTACATTTTATAAACATACTGCGCGTGTCTTTCCCGAATGGACTGGCTCCTCCATTCTTTAAAAGGATGGCATAGAACTACAACATAATTTCTATGCCATACCTAAAAGAATTGTCGAAGGAGGAGTACAGTATCCACTAGTACTAAAGAGGATGGTCGGGGAGATTGAAGGCAAGGACATAAGCGATTGTATGGAGATTAGTGGTAGAGTGAAAGGATAGTTTATTATAGTCTAGCAGGTACTGTATTGTTCTAAGTTTCAGCTACGATTTCTATAAAAGGCGCGGCGTTCGGACGGGGAAAGCAAAAGGGATCAGGCACAATCACTCACTCACCCTGAGAGCCACCCAACCTGCAACCCCAAGTGTGTCCAACTTAAGAACCGCCTTGCAAAACCATTCAACACAAGTAAGTCACTCTGTTCATTTTAATAACCCTGCGCACCGCTCAACAGCGCGCCGTGATTCGTAAATCAAGGGGTGCATCATACCGAGCTTTCGATAAGGAAGAGGGTAGAAAGGATGTGTTTTGGATCTTGGTTTGGTTCTGTTGGGAGACGAATCGCATCTCCTTCGATTGCCAGCCTCCCGCCTTTTTTCAAGTGTACAGGGGGGTCGCGATATATACAGCCATCTTTGTTAGTGCCAGCTCCGATATAGAGATACCCTTTTGCGGATGGCACGAATTTTGAGCCAAAAACTAAGGGTCTCCAGAGGGGGCAGTTGGATGGACGTACTGCCCGAGAGCCGCTGCCGCCGCGGATAGATATTATGCAGTTGCTCACTAGAATAAAGATTATGGCGGAAAAAGGCAGGGTCGATGATGCAATTAGACATTTGCAAAAGTGTAGGCTGGCATTTATCGCTGCGAAAACGGAGGAAGTCAATGCGACGGCTCAGAAGCTACTAATGACATAAATGCTTGATTAGAGTCTGTAGTGAAGATGCAAAGTACGAGTGATGGAGTCTTGCGATTGGTCTTTCTGAGCAGTGATGCAAGGAAGTGGCTTCAAAAAAGCCGCAAATCTCATTAGCTTACAGTGCCTGGTTCGATATAGTGCCGTTTTCGGCCTCCTGACACAGGGAGGCACTATATCGCGATGCCCGTGTACTGGCATTCGGGGACATCAATAAAATGAATAAATTGAATTTTATTATATGCTAAATTGGATCTAGATTTAATTCATTCGCACTTATGCGGGAGGAGACAGGCAATGGTGTTCTCTTGTATGGCACGTTGGTGGTGACAGAGTTATTTTAACTCTGTGTGTGCCATCATACTGTTAAGAAAAGTATTAAATGGACCAATCAGGTGCACGCTGACGTCCATACATGTCCAAACATGCCCGTACATGCTGTCTTAAAGGAGGCCCTGAGGTATGATTAGAGAGAGAGGGACAGAATAGAAGTCAGAAGTAAACCATCCGCTTGGTCGTCTTCGCTCGCTAAGGTGCTCCGCCTAGCCATTCTTTCTGCCCCGTCTCTCCGTCCTATTCCTCCTCCTGTCTTCGACCCTTCCCGCGCTTGCTCCGCCACACGTTAGAATGTGCTCACGTGCAGCCTCGCGCGAGCCTACGAACCGCGTTCAACGACAGTTACCACCGGCTAGTTGCACAGTGGCATTTTGACCACAGCTGCATATGTAGCCATGTTTGTATCCGTTTTTAGGATAGCATGAATCTATCCTATCCTATACCCTCGCTTTCGTGAACCATCACGACATTTCCTTTAGATTCTTTTTTGGGAACTTCTGGACATGGCCGTGATAATGACCACGTAAATGGACATCAGCGTAAACAGTGAGATTTAACTGCAGTTCGGTGTTACGAGTTACTACAATACGACATGGTCGCCGCAGTTGATCTAGGAGTGGTTAAAAGTGGACATATAAAAGTATGGCAAAACGGTGCTGGTGCTCAAATAGTAATGGCAATGCAGGCGGCAATGCTTCGCAATGGAAAACGGTGGTTTTATAATGTATAATGGCGGAGGGAGAACATACCTGACATGAAATGGCAAATGATGTATACTGCAGAAGCGAATGGCCAAGGTAGGGCGCTGTCGGGTGCGACACACTCGTAAGGATGGGTATCGACGGCGGTGGTGAATGTCCGACGACGACGGGAATATTCTTACATACATTTCGCAACAAAATGCCGAAATATTCGCCTCTTCGTATTGTCACCGCCAAGTTTGGTGTACCGATTACCGATGAAGTCCGAGAATGGACCGCAGCCGCTAATTAATTTCGCTATGTGTATCGTTTCGAAAAAATGGGAGTTGAAATGCACTGTTTGCAATGAAAATCCAGGATGTGTGACACCGAGTTCCATTAAAATTGTGATGTGTACTGCTATCCGAGAAATTATGGTGTGCTGACGACCGAAAAAGACTAAAATGTAAATTGTGTACAGTGATTCGCTTTCATGTTGAGGATTATGTTGACTCATTGCCATTGCATGAAATATGCGGACCTCCTGCCAATACGATTTGACATATCGACCACTTTTTCTTATATTCTGATGTCATAACAATGAAAGTCCTTAATCTCTCCTCGTATTCTACCAAATGATATGAAAGATGTCTGTCATGTGTGCCACCATTTCCCAAATGTCGCTTCTTTTTTATGTTCTTCCTTGCTGTGAAAACTATCATATTCCTCTCACATCCGTGTGCTTGGGACCAATCATCTTCTGTTTTACAGATATTATCTATGGAAAATCTGATCGAGGGCCGTGCCTGGGACATTCACCTTCGTCGCCAACCGCGTGTACTTTCCCGTATAGAACAGTATGACGTGGGACAACCCCTTTCATGTCCACAATATGGCAAGCCTCTGTGCACTCTCCGCACCCCGCGGTGCCCGCATTCAAACCATCAAAGCACTGTTTCCAGAGGAAGTAGATCTCTGATCTCGCACTGTTGCCAAAGGACATGTCCCAGTCTCGAAATACCCAGTCCCTACCTCGTGCATACTTGCCTCTATGCGGCATCGACGACCAGTCTTTTTTAAAGCCACCGACACCAGGGCTTTCTCTCCCTTCCCATCTCCGCTCAAATCCACCCTAGATACATCCCTTCTTGTGTCTGTCGCACACCGTCTACCCTTGCTCATTGGGGCAACCCCCTGTTTCTTCAAAAGTTCCCGCATCCTCTCCTCACGTTCCCCTCCTCTTACTTTGTTGAACTAAAGCACCCCCTACCTGGGAGTGCCCTGCTTCGAAAACTACGTCCCTGTCTCACCAACCCCTCCATGTTACCCAATCTGCAAACCACCCTCCGCCATGCCTGGCAGTGCATCAAGCAATTCCAACAAAAGGCTATTTTCCCCAACCGCTGTCTATACTGCACTGCAAATGCCACCGCCGCAGATCACGCAGACCATGTCGTGTTGTCGGGTGACAAGGCACTATATATTGTTTCTACATGGCGCATGTGTGATGATGCATTTGAGCTGCCTTCAACGCTGATTTTCGGATCTAATGCCCACTGAAAGAAGGAAACACATCCTTGCATCGTTTTGATCGTGGTTTCATCTCATAAACCGCAGAAAATGAGTCCTCAAAAGATGTTAGGATATCTTCGGGTCCAAAAGCAGGACAAGTTGGCCTTACGAAGGACAAGGCCTTTTTGTATGCGGCAAAGGGGTTTGAATTGAAAGCCCTTTGAAAGCGCCGCTGTGTCGGCCTTTGGCAAGGGAGGCTATCTTCTTTCGGCACAGGGCAACGACACCAATATTGAGGGAGAAAACTTCGTTGACATGAATAGTTTTAGATTTTGGCAGCGTGTTCTCTCTCTGCCCAATGGTTTCTCGTTGCATGTATCCGGGAGATTTCCATGTCTCAACATTTGAACATCTGGGGGGGCGCGAATCTGACGTCTGACACGTAACCTGGCGGTTGGACAGAGATACCCCAAATGGAGATTTGGGGAATAGGGTCAGTTTGCGAAGTAAGAGGTTTCTGGCTAGTGTCATTTCTCGTTCTATAACTTTCCCGTTGTCACTGCATTCAAGATTAATGCATCTCGTCGATCGAGAGTAGTTGTTTGTTGGCGCTCATTATGACATTATTCGAGTTAGCCGTGCGCCATGGTACGAATCGGGGCTGGCGCCGAGGTCGTGAAAGGGCAATTCACTATATCCCAACACCTAAATACCACCGTCCTCGCCCTTGCTTGAGTAGGCAATAGGCGAGAGGGCGAGCGCCTGTAATGTGTTGAGGAAGTTCCGTCGGTTCTCAAACAATGAGAAGCATTGTTGTATTCAGTACGTCGACAAGAGTCGATTAAGTTCTTCTTCGCGTCGCATTTAACGAGGAACGACCTGTCAGTTCCAAGAGTAGGACACGATTTTCCTTCATTTCTGCATATCTTGCTGGTTGCGATAAGTAGGTTTACATTTTTACTTTCGGAAAGTGGACTCCGTTTTTCGCTGATAAAATGACTCTACAGTATTGTCTCTCTTCATCTTGGTCGCATCTTCTGAACCCTCTTCCCAATTTCGTTCGTTTGATGAATTAGATATTAATTCGTACGCTTTCTGACTGTTTCAGCAGACGTAGTCTTATATTTCAAGGAGCACTTCTCTATTAAAAAGCAACCAATGTATCACTACAAGAGCCTGCGGGACGAACCGACCGGTTCGGATCTAATCGTATTGTAATCAGTGCTCTCCTTTTTTCTTCTACACTTGCATCGTTTTCTATTTTCCTTTTTATGTCCAACGCAATACTTTCCTTTTATTGGAGGGCTAACAATACCTCGGTCCTTTGTCGTGCTTTAGGATCTGTCCTGGTCTGTAAAGAAGGGCGGTCTCCCTCCCCGTTTGTACATCGACCATCGGGACATGTTTGAACCATCTGTGAGGAAGCAATTTCTCTTGGGATCATGGTTCTCGTCTGCATATGCTATCTATAGAGACCTTAACTGACATGCAGTTTTATTTTCTTTGAATTAGGGTAGCATCTGCACAATATCCGGTGGCATTTTGGATGAGGTCCTGGACAACCTATATCAGATATTACAATGATTGGCCATCTCTCAAAATCAACACTACCCACTTTCAGCCCACAACTGCAGCTCTATAGCTCGTTCCCCAGTATATTCATGCACTGTATTTTAATTCTGTTTAACAATACCGCCATCGTTTCGGGAAACCACTACACTGTAGTGGTGAGCATTACTTGCTTTCGACTTCAACCTATTATGCGAGTTTGAAACCGTGGTGTGGGATGCACATTTTAGAAAACGGTGAAAATGCAGATTATCTACAGAGAAAACATATCAACCTTTCAACCGCAAAAACGTTTTTGGGGTTCGAGCCTCTTCTACCATAGTGCCGAAGAGAAGAGCATGTCATTTGATTGGAACTTACCTCTTTCAATTCTAACAAACCTTTGCATCTCATCCAGAAAGTCGGAGCCTCTTCCGCTTGTGGTATGTAGTAAGATAGTTCGGGGAGATGAAATAATATCCACCATTCAAACACGCCTCGCAGATATAATCTATGGAAGAAGTATTCTTTTTATATCGCAAACATCCCCCCTCAAACACTGCCGCGTTTGGTGAACACCGACAAGTTGTCCACAGCTGTGCGATAAAACCCTAAGCTTGTTTCAGCCTAGGCTTCTTCTCAGCAAACCAAATGAGCTGGAATCATCTCATCCCTGAACATCATGGACAGCTCTGCGTCTATATAAGACATGCCCGATTGCCCGAACCAGGTAGTTTGTCCTTCAACATCCCTCGCACTACAAAGCCTTTCTCCAATCCAAAAAGTATCAAATCATCCGAAAAAGCAGGCCTACCTCTCCAACATGTTTCATCGCTGCACATGTTTTCTCTTGGCCCTTCTGGTCTGTTAAGATATCTGAATCATTTATGCGGAATCAAGAAAGATGAGGTAATACTGTAAGAGAGAGGTAGTTACTGTACCTGCGGAATCAAGAAAGATGAGGTAATACTGCAGGAGAGGAGGTAGTCACCATTGTAGCAAGAAACCAAGAAAGACGTGCAACTCCGGATTGCATCAGAACGGGACAGGTGACTACTGCATAATGTAAGGAGGACTCCCCTCACCATGAGCACAAACCTTACACTCAGACCCGTACTTAATAATAGAATTGTAGCTCCACCAGAGAGGAGGCACGACAGACACTACAGAAAAACGCAGATACAACCGACAGTAAAGATTTCAAACTGGAAGCTTAGCTTCCAGCGCCCTTCCAGACCGGAAGGACTTCCCGCTCGCAATTGACGCTGATCTGCCCCACCGGCGTGGAAGTGCAGGCTGTTAGTCTACCGCGAGCTCCCTTCCAGCATCCCTGCGATACTGGATCACTTCGAAGTATACCAGTTCGTCGGCAAACTGGATTATGGACAATTCAAGGAACAATGACCCTTTGGAACACATTCCTCCCCCGAACCCACTACTGGCATCAATTAATCGTTTGGTCGGTCGCTCAGACGAGCAGCATGCTTTAATCGATGGCATGCGGCACTTGCTGGAATCAGAATTTTCATCAGTTGCCGAAGCAAAATGCAGTGCACTGGAACTTTTACCACTCCCAATTGTTTTGTCCAGCAGTGTCCTCAAGTCTCCAATCATTTTCCAAATCCTCCGCCAAGTACTGCGAAAAATTGGAATAACCTTTGAGCAAAAGCATGGACTCCTCGTTTCACAAGCGGTTTCTGAAGCGCTGTATCGCGATGACGTCAGTATGATTCGCACTGCTCGTGAAGAAATCAAATGCTTCAAGAGCTGCAGGAGCGGTGAAGCACCAGCCATGTCAAATGTGAACACAAGTTTAGTTGCAAGCGATAGAGTGGTTGGTAACAAATTTTCTGCTCACAACGAACAGATGGCTTCTTCCAGGAATGTCGATTCAACGTCACGACATTTTTCCGAAAACAGAAGGTTCAGCGGTATATTAGGAAATTCGCCTAGTCTGCCAGAAACCCAAAAGGCGTATCTTACATATTGTGAACAGAAAACTTTCCCTCGTGCAGATCGTGTTAAATTGGTATCCTTAATTTTAAAGGGACCGGCTCTCGGATTCTGGGAAGAGCACATACAGCCTGACCCACAAATCACTCAAGTGGCATCCGTGTTCAGCATGCTTGAAAAGCAATTCGATTCGCCAGCACATCAACGCCAAATTGAGGCAATGACTGTAAGTATGAACATAGAAGATATACGAAGGAAAGAGTCATGCTCGCGCGTAGCTGCTTTAGGTACACTCTATCATGAGGTCAGTCGTCTGAACGAACAGTTCCCGAAGGAAAAAAGAGGCGAAGTTTTCAAAATTAATACACTTATGAAGATTGTAGACCGATATGTGTGGTCTCGCTCAGCGGAGGAGGACGTCATGCAAGGGAAACTTAAGTACCAAGACTTATACACTAAGCTCTCAGCATCTCTGGTTATTTGGGAAAACGAAGTAAGGCGTGGAGGCAATGACCCTGAGTCATCTGACGATTTTCGAACGGCTCAGAGCTCAAGTTTTATTGGATATGGCGCGCAATACGCATATTCGAAGCAAGGAGGCAGGAATATTCGCTTCGGGAGTATGCAGCCATTTCGTGCCCCCGTTCGTTCTCCCGTCATGAGAACCGCTCAATCGACAAGCGGACCCGTTTTCGCGAAAAGTGATAGAGATCGAAAAAGGGACATGACCAAAGTACAGTGTTTTAAATGAAGGAGATTCGGACATTATAGAAGCGACTGCAGGGAACTGAGTGGAGGAAACCTTGCTGAAGCCGCGAGGTCTAGGATGAGAGAAATTGGAGGAAGTCCCAACACAGCAGCTGCACAAGTACTGTATGAGCTTGTCGTTGATGAACAAGAATATTTCAGCCCCAGCAACAGTGAAGAGAGCATTAGCGAGGACGACCCCAATCTTTTTGAAACACTTCTCCTGTCCAATCTCGAACTTAAACAGGAGCCCCACGTCAGTACAGAAAGCATAAGGGACGCAGCACTGGGAAATAATTTTGGGGGTGAGGACGAATTGGCTCAGGCGAATTTTCAGGTGCCAGACAGATCATAAAACATGGGCTTCTGTCTGGCGTCAAACGGCCAAAGGAACCAGACAAGTTTCCAGTAATTGGAGATCCCGTAAAGGGCTGTCGAGTTTCTACACAGAATGTTTACGCCCTAACTCTCAGGAACACTACAGTACAGCAGTTTGAAGGCGCATGTCTAGATACTGGAGCATATCGTACCGTTGTAGGTCTCTCTCAGCTGCTCCTTTATGAGAAGAAATATGGCGTCACCCTCAAACCTTGGCGAGAACCAGCAAACTTTATTTTCGGAGATCACGTATCGCCCTCTCTACGAGTGGTATTCTTAATCATTACAACTCCCCATGGACCAGTACAAGTTAAAACGCACGTGGTTAAGCCAAATATCCCATTTTTGATTGGCCTGGATGTTCTAGATTATCTCGGATGGAACATATTAACTGTGCAAAACAAATTGCAGTCTGTCTACGACGGATGGCTCATGGACTGTGTAAGAAAAAACGCGCACATATATATCGAATGGGATAAAACCGAGTCCATATACTACTCAGCAGAGACTCTCCGGAAATTGCATCATCAATTCATGCACCCCTCCACCGGAAAATTACTCAATCTGCTTCGTCGGGCGTCTCATGAGAAGCTCTGTAAAAATACCAAAGCAATTTTGGAAGACATCCGCAAGGCATGTCATGTCTGTGAGACATACTCGTGTAGGCCTGTGACTTTCAAAGTGCGAATGCCAACCGAAATAATTTTTAACAGAGAAGTGAGACTGGACTTGATGTTCCTGAAAGGGAAACCGGTACTACACGTCGTGGACAGAGATACAAATTTTTCTGCTGCTCGATTTTTACCGTCCCAGTCATCGGAAGCCATTTGGAACACTTTCTTGTATTGTTGGGTTACTGTTTACACAGGCTATCCTCTAAAAATGTTGACCGATCAGGGAACCGCGTTCTGTAAATCTGAACACTGGCAAAGGCAATGCGAGGAGGCAGAGATTACACTGCGTCACACAGGAGTGGAGTCACATAACTCCCTGGGGAGCGGCGAAACGTATCATGCTCTTCTTAGACGCATTTACCACAAGGTTTCTATGTCGAATCCGAATTTCTCAGCACCACTATGTCTATCTCTGGCAGTGAAGGCAATTAATGATACAGCAGGCCCAAGTGGATTGGTCCCCTCACTTTTGCTTTTTGGGACATTACCAAGGCTTCCTAGAGATCATTCTGACAAATCATCCCTTAAATCTCACCCAACCTACAAAGAAAAAATGAATGCTCTTGCCCTGGCTCGGAAAGAATTCGAAACAATCATCACAAAAAATCGCATCGACTTGGCTGTCCGAAAGAAAATACCCCCCTCAGCAAAGCATAAATTTCACCCCGAAGAGATGGTTTATGTCTACCGGGAACGAAAGCGGAAATGGGAAGGACCATTTAGAATATCTAAAGTGCATCACGACAAGTCTGTGATACTGGAAGTCTCGAAGCATTTGCACCAGCAGTTTAACATTTCCCAAATTAAGCATGCCATAACAGATACCAATACCGAATCCTCCCAACCTCACGCGAAACACAGGCAGCTTTCTCAAATTAATCCGGATCACGAGCTGAGACGCAGTGCAAGGGTGAGAACAGAAACCGATAGATACGTTCCAACATTTTTAGTGAGAGACGCTGTTCGAGGAAGCGGCATTTTGTATACAGAGGTCATCAGCCCACGCGATCCGAGAAGCGGAAAATTTGAAGAAGCAAAGTTGAAGGAACTCACGGGGCTCATCGAGAAAGGAACGTTTAAAATTGTTCTGCGAGAGGAGGCAGGCGAAAGACCAAATATAATTCCTACTCGTTTTATCCTTGGCATCAAGCACGGAGATAACGGTACCGAGCTTCTAAAAGCCCGCTTCGTTCTTGGTGGTCACCGCGATCGCGAAAAGCCCTTCCTGGTTCACAACTCAACGACACTACGCCATCACTCAGTTCGAATATTGGTTGCTCTTGCCGCAATTTTTGGGTTCAACCTATGGTCCTCGGATGTCAACCAAGCCTACCTACAAGCTGCAGAGAATTTACAACGCAAGATTTTTATAAAGCCGGACATTTTGCAGTTGTCCTCAAATGAGTTAGTACAAGTAATTAAGCCCTTGTATGGGCTAACAGAATCAGGAGACTACTGGGGAGAAACGAGCAAAGACCATCACACACAAGATCTCAAAATGGAAGCCACCGATGGAGACCTTTCCCTATTTTTTAAGAGAATTGGAAATCGACTTGTTGGTCTATCGGGAAATTATGTTGATGATTTTCTCCGGGCCGGGAATGCCGAATTCAAAAAGCAGTCCACAGCTACCACCGCAAGACGTTTTGATACAAAAGAAATACAAACACCACCGCTGACCTTCACCGGCGTGGCACTATCAGAAGAAGGAGACAAACGCTGCTTATCTCAAAACAAATATATTTCTCGTCTGAGGAGGCTATCAATGGACGATGGATTTGCTCAGTACACATCCTGTTGAGCCAAACTTTTGTGGATGGTCCACTCACGTCCTGATATTGCTTGTGCGGTTTCCATGGCGACCCAGGTAACGGAAAGTCTTTTCTCTAAGGAATCTCGCATTTTAATTAACAAAATTGTAGCACACCTTCACAAAACGCCACACATTAAGCTCTCATACACCAAGCTTGACTTTAACTCACTCTTCATTGTGACGTACACCGACTCCTCCTTTCAAAGCAATCATGACTACAGTAGTCAGCTGGGTTTCATAATACTTTTAGCTGACAAGTTCAACCACTGCTGTATTATACACTATTCCTCTCACAAGTCCAAGCGTGTTGCAAGATCGAGCATGGCAGCTGAAGCTCTGCCTTTCGCGGATGGATTTGACAATTCCTTCATTATCAGGCATGACTTACAAAGAATCATGGGGAGACCATTACCATTGCTCATGTTGACAGATTCGAAAATACTTTTCGATGTTCTCACGAGAAAGAAGTACACAACTGAAAAGCGGATCATGGCAGATATTGCATCTACAAGAGAGGCATACGACGCAATGATTATTTCAAACATCGGTCTCATCAAGAGTATACACAATCCCGCGGATGCCCTTACCAAAATAGGTGCAAACAGTGCCCTTACGACATTACTTCAAACCAACAAAATCAATCATCCCATTGAGCAACACGTAGTAAGCTCGACGAGGATAACAAGTTGATTCCTTAAAAAAAAGGGGGGAGGGGAAGTGTTAATATATCTGAATCATTTATGCGGAATCAAGAAAGATGAGGTAATACTGTAAGAGAGAGGTAGTTACTGTACCTGCGGAATCAAGAAAGATGAGGTAATACTGCAGGAGAGGAGGTAGTCACCATTGTAGCAAGAAACCAAGAAAGACGTGCAACTCCGGATTGCATCAGAACGGGACAGGTGACTACTGCATAATGTAAGGAGGACTCCCCTCACCATGAGCACAAACCTTACACTCAGACCCGTACTTAATAATAGAATTGTAGCTCCACCAGAGAGGAGGCACGACAGACACTACAGAAAAACGCAGATACAACCGACAGTAAAGATTTCAAACTGGAAGCTTAGCTTCCAGCGCCCTTCCAGACCGGAAGGACTTCCCGCTCGCAATTGACGCTGATCTGCCCCACCGGCGTGGAAGTGCAGGCTGTTAGTCTACCGCGAGCTCCCTTCCAGCATCCCTGCGATACTGGATCATGGTCATGGTTACAGTCGCCTTTGCTGTGAATGACAAGCGCGTCGGGGAAGACATCTCTATTGAACAAGATAGCGCGGAGGACATGAAAGTTGCAGACCGATCTCATTTCGACTGTCCGGACTCTCCCACCGGAAGCTTGAAAATTGCTAGACAACAATGCCGCAAGTATCCCGTTAACATACAATGCCGTGTCGCTCGTTACCGCGGATGGTGGTGCACCAGTCGTGATCATGATGATTAGGACTGCTCGCTGAGCTACCCGCACCACCTGGACTGCAGTTGTTAGAATGGACTCAAGGGGTCACCATGGGATTATCAAATTCTTTGTTAGTCTGGAAGTCGACGACAGCTGTTTCAGTCTGAAGGCCAATACATCGCAAAACAATTTCAATCCCTTTTCATGAAGTGTAGTTGCTCGCAAAATTATCTGCGAAGGCTCTCTTTAGTTGGCAGTGCGTGTGGACATCGCGATGTACTCCCTTGCAGTTACAAATAAAATGATGATAACCGGTATCAATGCCTATTCGAACAAAAACTTCTTTTTCCATATCAATAATTCATCCATGTAATCTAAGGCAATCAGCAAACGACAACTCCTGCCTTTCCGCGGATTATCAGTGCCTTCTATGGCAACTTCTCCATCAAATACCCAGACCCACATGTACTCTGATACTAATGTACGTGTCAGAAACATGTTCACCATGCGGTCATAAATCAATACGAAGGGTATCTTATCTTAAAAGTGCAAAGTCCACCGGCCATTTTCCTACGGCAAGTTGCCATGGTATCTGTTCATGTTTACGTACATGTCAGACGCTGCTTCCAGCGGTGCTGTAACGGGCTGCCATCTGCTATGCTCTTCCGAATCGGTTAAATCAGACCGTGTCCACGCAGATAGCATGGACACGCGTATCTCTACGTCGCGCGCCGTCAATGGCGCTCGCGTGTGGCACTATTTCCGTGGGGGAAGTGTCTTGATTTGAGTGGTGAAGGTGTGAGGTGCCTTGCCCCTCTGTTTATTGCAAAGATAGCTACTTAAGTAGAAGTACCTGTTACCGCTGAAAGCTTGACGAAGCAGGGATCACAGAGATGATGCTGCAAAAGGAAAGACATTGTAAAGGATGAAGCCATAAAAGAATCAGTGCTGCTTGTGGTGTCACTAGTTGTTCCCATAAAAGCTCACACTGTGTGCAACAGTCCGCTCTCTCAGAAGAGAGGTTGAAGTTAATTGGAAATCGACGAGAGAGCTGCCTTGACGAGATCTTGGTCAGGATACAAAGAGAGGAAGTGGGTAAGTATCACGGGAATGTCTTCGCCCATGTTGCGGATTGGTTCCCACGGGGGTTCCTCGTCATCGAAGCCCTGCCACTTTGCCTGTACTTCGTATTGTTGGATGTGCCATCCGAATCCAGCAGTGACTGGAAAGTGCGTCAACTCCTCACCATTCCCCATCAATGTTGCTGCGTCCGCGTTACTCGGTCTCTCTGGTGCCAGTGAAATTACCAATTAGACCTTTTTCTAAAAATCTGTGTACTGCCGCACCAATAAAAGGAAATTCGGGGTTTCTCTGACCCAGTACGGCTTGAGATTCTGTATCTCCTCCCAGTTGATCAGCAAACACAGAGCATCGATAACCACCAGTTTGAAGTCATTTGAGGCAGGGGAAGTAGTTTTTTAAATTAATTTATGAAAGATGTTACCACAATATACTTTCGGGGAAGGGTACCATTTTAAAAGTACTGTATTACAGGGACTTCCGAGTAGCAATTTAAGTACTGTATTCATTTACAGGAGAAGAGTAGAGTACTGTAGAACAGATAAAGTTCATGCGAACTGCCGCAGTACGAGGTTAGAGTTTCCATAAAACCAAAGTTAAAGCTTCATTTTAATAAAGAATGACATGTCGGAACAACTGGAAAGTTAAACGCAATCATTGCAATTGTGAACTGCACTTTCATCCCCATAAACTGAATTTTGAAATGCCTACTTTTGGGTTTATTTCGGCACAAAAGAGTCATATTTGTCCCAGAAATTCTGCTCCGGATTTTTATAAACTCGGTATATGCAATAACGAATAAAACTTCGTGACATTAACAGTGGTCGTAAGAAGCGTTTCCCGTGCGCATTTAAGACCTAAATGTTTTCCAGACCTATGTGTATTCGTATTAAAAATCACTTTCTCGCCATATATGGATGAAAAGCCTGTAATTTCCCTGCAGCGTAACCTCAAAAACCCAAACACTTATATTGCTTCTATGAATTTGATGCAATTCTAACTCTATTACTGCCACGTTACAAAACAAAATGGATCCAATACAAAATTTATTTGCATGAAAACAGGATTTTCGAAAAGTTTAATCATCAGCAGCCATGGAAGCATGAATTATTCATCGTAAAAAGCTCATTCCCAGTTGCTGTACTGAAGTGATTGCAACAGCATTTGAGGTCATAATTCATATGATCCGGATAAAATCGTGCTCACGAAAGCGGTGCACAGTTCAGCTTTATTCGTCAATATTCGTTTTTGGGTATTTTGTGGTAGTACGGTTCGGAAGGTACACATCCTCAGTCCTTCAATGCAAAAAAAGTTACCTTTATAACCCTAATGAAATTGATAACGGCTCGGGGACCTTGTGGACCTCTCTATCTAACAGAACGATACAGCAGCTACGTAAACGTCATGCAAAGAAAGATTCAAGTTACATACGCCCACAAGCCCTTGGATTTGAACTTTTTGTCTTTCCCTGATTTGAAAGGTCATCTACTCCAGGATAATGGATTCCGGGACTTTTTGCAATTTTTGGGTGAGAATGGCCCACACGGAAATGAGAAGGCCAGCTAAAAGATTAGATAGAGTATATGTTACTGGCGAGAATGCTCTATTTGCATCTTTTCTAATACATTTTTTCTAGTAACATCTACGATCGCTTCATGAGACTTTTTAGAGTACTTGTAGAAAACTTCGGCTTGCAATAAGAAACTTTGGATAAGTCTGAGCTGCCAGATATTACATCATAGAAATATCACACAAGCAAAAAGTACCTGAACTATGCGCACGTTTTCTTTATCCGCAGCAGCATATACCGTTGCAGCGTTTCTTTGCAAAAATACACCTGTGAGCGAAATTACGGATTGAACTGCGTACTCATGTTGGAGAAGAAGACGTGTTATGCTTAATATATCAGATGCGTACTCATAATAGTAAGAATTACAAACGTTTTTAAAAGTAAGGTTCTCTTCATTCACACATTTACAGCTATCTAGACTTGCGGAAAACGCCCTCTCCTTCCACCGTACCTCTGTTTCCGATTCCCCGCTCCTTTCCGAGTACCTACAGGCCCAATTCCTCCCCGATCCGAGCATCACTCTTCCGATCAAGAGCCTCCCCCGCTTCAAGGATTCACATGCAAACTAGTCTAATTCTGTCCCTCTTTGCAAGCTCTCCAAGGGCACTCTGAAAAGGCTTCGGCAGCATATGAACTCCGTCCACCCGCCTGATGCACTTGGAAACCCCTCTCTAACCAAGGTTGGTCAAATCATTGGCCGGGATGCTGTTCCTGTCCAGTCTCTGTTTAGTGGTGCCAAGACCAAATACTTTCCCGTTACGGCCGAAGCTCCAATCGGAGAAATGGTCCCCGTTTCCCAATTTCCCGTCGGTATTCCTGAATCAAAAGAAGAAGATCCTATCCAATCCGCCCCGGTGTCCTCACCCTGCCCCATGGACACATCGACCAACTCAACTCTAGACCTCATCACTCCAGACCCCACCCCATCAACGTATGAGCTCCACAAGTGTGTGGCTGACGTACTGGCCCGTCTAACGTGTTCCAGTTCAATCCTGGCCCACGGTCGGCGATCTCATGCCGAATTAGAGGAAAATGACGAAGACTCCAGCATCGCCCTTCGCAACACATTCCTGGCGATCACCGACTTTGATGAAGCCCTCGACGGTCTGCCTCTAAGCCGTGAGAAGGCAGCTCAACTCACGGGTGCCCTCACGACGGAGGACGCTCAGGCGACTTTATCCACGGTTGCAACCTGCGTCCATCTATACTTTCAAAGTATCGCCAAGGTCGTCAGGGACGTCACGCATGGATTTCGTCAAGCGATAAACCTCCACGGCACCACGCCCTTCCGACGGCTTCAATCCATCGCAGAACGAAGATATGCTAGTCATGTCGCCCGCCTCCTCTTCTTCACCCATCAGACACGGGACGCCGACTTTTCCCGTAATGAACAGACTTCCGTCGCGATCGACGCCTTCTTTCATGAGCTCAATCGCATATCTCTCCACGAGACCCCAGGTGAAACTCTCTCCCACGCCTTACACAGTCGCCTTCACGATGCCATGAAAAGCTTGCTCCTCGTCCGGCTCCGGTATGTCGACCTCCTCACCAACTTGGCCGTTCGTAATTTTGTTGTCGCCGCTACTGTCGTTGCAAGTTCAGCCCCACTCTTCGCCGAGACTTCCCCGACCCTCAGACGCGCCGAAGCTGGTGACATGAGTCACATTCTTGCCGCCCTCCAATACGCTGTTTCCGTGACAGCGATTCAAGAACTCCGCCGAGTAGCAGAAACGCCCCTTCCGGCCGCCCATCTCAACGAGAACCACCAAGATCCAGCTGCTGCCATCATCGCAACCGTCGATCAAGATGCCAACACTGCCGCTACATTCATACGAAAAACTTTGGATGTCATCATGCGAATCATAAAACATGAGGAAGGTCCAATCTCTTTCGCCGTCTGTGCCATTCACAAGCAAGACCCTTGCGGCATTATCAAGTCTCACCACCTCTCCATGCCTCTTCTGGGGACCATCATCACAAACCAGCACAGGACTTTCGACAAGTTCTTCTACGAACACTGTCTTTTGGGGGCCGAGCTCCCTCCTCATTTCCAACGAATCGTTTTATCTCTGCGTGACGACTCCACGAACCGCGCTCCTGGCTTTTCCTTTCTCTCCTCCTTCACTCACCACGCCTCCTGGGTGCAGGCCAACGTTGCCCATCTCCTCCATGCTCTAATGAATCCATCGCCCGATTACCTCCATCGCACACCTTGCGTCCACCGCACATGTTCTTTTCCGCGCAGGGTTCCTACACAAGGCGAGGCATCCGGTCTTGGCCCTTCTCCTACCTCTACTGCCTCCTCTGGCCAAGACCGAGAAATTCAAGTCGCTAGTGTTCGAATGACGAAAACAGGAGTCTTGCAGTTTCTCGTACATTGCCAAATCATGCAAGATTCCCTCCTTACCATTATGCATTTTTTGTCCGGCTCTCCCGGTCGAGCAACCGAGATATGCACTTATAGGCTACAAAATGGGGAGAACAACATCCGGAAAATATTCATCGGCCACCACTCCGAAATTTTGTTTAACCCTGGCTACTGCAAGTCAAGGGCCGCACTCGGTTACAACCGCGCGGTGTACCGACTCCCCGACAAACAAACGTGGTTCCGAATGATCTCATACTTGTCGGTCATTCGCCCCTTGGAATGCGAAATGGTCAGAGCTCTCCATGGTGACGCAGCCATGAGAACCCGTTGGACATTCTTATTCGCCAACAACGGCCAACGCTTCTCACCAGCACGTGTCACAAAGGTCATCAGGACTGCCCTGCAATCCAGGAGCGTTCACATCTCCTTCAAGGATTACAGGCAGTGCACTAGTGGAATGGTTCTGCTTATATGTCAGAATAAGCTCCACAGCAGCATGAATGACATATTGGCAGAACACACCACAGCCGGACACCAACAAGCTGCGCATACCTCCTCTATCGCCCACAAACACTACGGACGAACTACCTTGCTAATTCCCGACTGTCCCGCCGCCACGCGAA